ATGGTGTATGGGCACACTGTGTCCTGGAGCAGCAAACGACAACAGATAGTGACTCTTTCATCAACAGAAGCAGAATTAGTTTCACTTTGCAATGCTTCTAAGGAAGGGATATGGTTGTCTCAACTATTGAGTGAGATTGGAATTCTGTCGATTCCATTCACTATATTTGAAGATAACATACCCTGTATTAGAATTGCAGAAGAGCCAAGGGAACATCAGAGGACGAAGCACATAGATGTAAAATTCATGTACATCAGGGAACAGATTAAAGAGAAAAAGCTCATAGTTAAATATGTTCCAACAAACGATCAAATCGCTGATTTTCTAACCAAACCCCTAGTAAGAGCTAAGTTTGATAGATTCATGAAAATGATAAAAATGCAAAATTGAGGGGAAGTGTTGAAATTCAATTTTCATTTATAGTATTGGCAAATCAAAGTTGGCACTCGTGGAGAATAGAAGAACTATGAAAATGATGATGGTTTCAAAATTTTCCACGGGGAGGTATACGGGTGCAATCTTAAAATGCTTTTATTTTGCAAATGGAGCATTCTATTTAAATCTGGTTGCTGCTACAGTTGTAGAAAAGCTGAAATCTATGTCTACACCTAAAAATCTGAAAAGAAATTATTTTTTCTATATTATATGTCTATTAAGTAGTCCTTAAGTTTTCTACTAGAGTAGCATTAACCAGATTTAATTAAAATGCTCTATTTGCAAAATAAAAGCATTTCAAGATTGCACTCGTATACCTCACCGTGTAAAATTTTGAAACCGTCATCACTCTCATAGTTCTTCTATTCTCCACGAGTGCCAACTTTGATTTGCCAATAGATTCTATTCTTTTACTCGGGTTGTCTCTTTCACAACCATAAGCAGATTCAATGTTCTCTCATTAGAGCCATTTCGCTCTCGCTAGCTCAGGTCTCTATTAGGTGTTTCCGAAGCTGAATGAGCCTAGCGTAATCTGTCTATTAGTTATCGATAGATCAACTTGTTATCAGATAATTAGTAGGGGAATCATAACATATCAATGTAACCTTTATGCAGTACTGAATTCTTATTAAATAAATAGTTTTATTGATGGTCTAAGAATTCTGTGTACGTTTTTGTTTTCCGAGAGGTAATGTTTATCTTCGGAAATTGCATGAGAGAAACCCTTTTTGATTCTTCAGCTGGGTTGGAGGAAGTCAGGCTTATCTGACTCTTTCCTCATCCACTCTGGTTGGCTGTCATACTTGGAGGAAGTTTTTCCTCAAGTACTGTTACGGCACTCCACTTGCGTTCGAACTTCCAACAAGGAACGTACCCCTCCTAAACGTCAGGCGTTGGATTGTGAATACTATTATAGAAGCCTGGCAGCAGGAATGCTTCCATTCGCGGACCGCTTTCCTGAGGAAGATCAAGGAAAACGTACGCTCCTGGCTGGAAAACCAAAAGTACAAGGACCAGCGGATCATCTTAAGACTCCGGACCAGTGCGCAAAACAGTCAGGTTCATTGAGTCATTTTGATATGAATATGAACTGCCATCTGCCTCATCATTCACTGACCCGTGAGAGTCTGAATGATTCAGAGGTAAACGAGTCACTGACAGCCGAGCACTCAGTCAGTAGCTCAGTCAACACGTTTATTCTGCCGTGATGGTACCCAATATTTGTTTTGAAATGACTGAGCGTACATTTTCTATGGAAAAATTACTCAATTACATGCTGTGTGAGCGAAGGCAAGCGGTGTGCGTCGCCTGCTCGTGAGTGACTGAATGTTTTTGTTGGCTCTTTCATTGCCTCGTCCTTTAAGCTGGGTTTAGACAGGGCAAGTCAATTGTTCAAGTCAGTTGAATTCAACTGACTTGAACGCGAATTGAACGTGTAAACCATGTCATTTAACTGACTTGATCAACTCACAATTGAAAAAAAGTTGAACCAGGCTCAACTTTTCAAGCCAATTGAATTCAACTGAGTTGATCATTTGACTTGCCTAGTCTAAACCCAGCTTTACCGTTTGGTACAAACGGTCTGCACAGAGCAATGGATTGAATAGTGCAGTGCTTTTACACTCAGCCTAGGCAGTCAATAATTTTAAGCTCTGCTCCGGACCAGCCATGCGAGGATTTCCTGTAATTTCGGTGGGACACCTTTCCGCAAGGTTTGTTCAATTTGCAGCATCCCCCGGGGCGGTGGAACACGTGCCCGGAGTTCCAGAAGCTACGCGAACAACATGGACTCCCGGAGAACTCAGTAATATGCTTCGTTACGACCCCTCAACGTTGGCTGCGCTGATCGCCTTTCTGAAGGACGCCCACTTGTATGATCAAATCTAGCCCCGTTTCACCTGTGCATACAATGCTTTGGTTTTCTTTGCATGCACGTAACCTATAGCTCATACCGTAGTAGGCTATGTATAAAAGAAAATGATTTACTTAGTTTGACAGTTGCACCATGACGAAGTGGCAGCGTATTCGTGATTTGTCCCAAGCGCAAATGTCGCAAAAAGACATTTCAATCGTCGTGGGAGTGTCCCGGTGAAACGTCAAAAGGGTTTTAGACCGAGAAAAGAAAGGACAACTATCCGCGAAGGTGGCCACAGGTTGTCCGAGGTCAGCTCGGGTTCCGAGGGTTATCGCTGCTATCAAAAGGAAGATTTGAGTTAATCCAGTGCGTTCAATAAGGAAAATGGCAAAGGAACACGGGATCAGTGACTTTACGGCACGGAAGATCGTAAAGGAAGATTGCGGGGCGAAGTCGAGGGTATGGAAAAAAAATTAAAAGATTACCAACCGCATCCGGGAGCTACGAGTCGAACGATGCAAGAAAATCTTGAACTTCCTTAAGCGAAAAAATCCGGTAATCCTGATCACTGACAAGAGCATGTTTACCGTCGATCCCGTATCAAATTCCAGAACCGCCCGGTATATTAATTCTCTTCCGGTAAAATACGTGGCCGACGAGCACTAGAACGTGTATCTGACCAAGCATCCTGCTAGCGTTATGGTGTTTGGATTGGTGTCTTCCGATGTTCATTCCAGAAGGTGACAAGGTCAACACGGAGGTCTACATCGGGATTTTAAGTAAGTATGTTCTTCCGTGGATCAAAGAACAGTACGGTCCGAAGCTAAATGTTGTATTTCAACAAGATGGGGCTCCGTGCCACACCTCGAACCGCACTCAGAAGTGGTTGCAGGAACATCTTCCGTTCTGGGCGAAGAATATGTGGCCGCCATCCAATCCGCTGGATTACCCAATATGGCGCGTCATGAAGGCCAAGGCCTGTTCTAAACGCCACCCGAGTACAGCAAGCCTCAGACAAACATTGACCCGTACCTGGAGAGAAATTGATCCAGACTACATTATTAGAACCTGTCGTGCATTCCGGAAGCGTGTGGAGGCCATAATTGCAGCAAGTGGAAACTCGATCGATGATTAACATAGTTTAAGACTCTGAGAAACATCCACCCTTTGAATAAATAAAAAAAAAACTCGACAAGGAAATTTTTTTGAATTTTTTTTAATTTTGACATTGCTCAATGGTGCAAACATTATCACGCATACGGTATCAAATAGACAAGACAGATGATGCAGGTATGTCCATCATTTTCCAGGATTCTTTCAATAACTGACTGTGTTGGTGGTAGATTAGATTAAATTTCAAATATTAGCAATTTTCGAAAGAGCATTTTTTCGATGCGGCATAATATAATAAAACACAAATAACACAGGAGAAATGGCACTAATGTTGGCCTATGGATCCAAAACTTGGGCCCATCGATAACAATCATCTGGACAATACAAATGGATATTTTTGGTGGCTAGAGAAACATTGTCAAAAAATGCTTTCTTTAGAATTGTATGAATGGGCCCAATATTAGGGACATTTAGGCCGACATAAGGGGCACTAATCTCATAAATTCTTAAAAAAAGTTTGATTGACATATTTGAAACTGAACCCAAACATGACGGAAATCGATTTAATTTTCCTTAAGATTGTCACTCCTTTGCAACTATAGTCGCGGTTGTGCTCTTTATAGTGGAATCGATTAGAAATAATTGGTTTCAACTTTTATAAGATAGCAGTTATAGAAACAGGGTTCCTATTAATGTAGGACGTGTTTTCCAATAACCCAATCAATTCTTCTGAAATGGCAGGGAAATCTATTTGTGAATTTGAATACCAAAAATCAAACGTAATTTTACCGTTAAATACATTGTGTTGTTGTTCTGCTTTCTATATTATCTTTTCAAAGTGTTGTGTCATTTTAATGGTAACGTGTATTTTGCACTAGAGTAATTTTTACACATAATAGGTCTTGGATTAATTTAACTAACCGACAAAATCGCCCACCTAAACAGACCCATACCGTTCTACTCCTCGCCCCACTAATCAACCTACTCTTCATTCGTTTTGTCACATAGATGGAATGTTCACTAGTGTTGGTGCTATGTTGCTCTTCTGCGATTCTGCCTATTGCAAACTGCACGCATCAATACAACAGTGCGCCTAACCGGCTTTTATGTTATTATCAGCAGCTGGTGTTTTCTGGTTCTTAACACCCACACATTGAAATGTTATTTTCCGCATTTGAAGTACTTTTGTTACTTCTTGCTGATGGCATGTTTTGAATGAAAATCATTTAAGCGTTCTACGATTGTAGATCAATCCGCGTTACCAAAGTTCACGGTTATTATTTATAATCTCAATAATGAAATTTCAGCCAAGTTTTATTTTGTTAACACATGGGACAATTATGCTTCCAGCGACAGCATGGTGATCGTATACTGATCAGACTCAATCAATGCCATTCAAACAATGTGCAGCCCATTTTTTGCTTTGGTCTAATCCATTCTAACATTTTCGCATCCAACACAGCCGGCTTCATGTCCACTTATTACGTAACATAGTATTTGTAGGCTTGCCGTTCGTCTCTCTAACCAAAAACAACAAAAAACCAAGGCCAACATCTTGATTTCTAACCAAATGTTGCAAACTGTGCGCCGCACTTACCCTCTCCCGGCGGCCCTGTTTCTTGCGGTGAGACTCCCGTTCATCATCCGAATCCGAATCGGAATCGCTTTCGTAGGCCCGTTCAGGTCGGTTGGCTTTTTTGGAGTACTTTCGCACACTGGTCGACACGAAGCTGGGCAACGGTTGTCCGACTGTCTGCTGTTCGATCTGTAATTGTTACAAATTGGTGTGTTTAGCACTCGTGTTTGGTTTTAATGCAGGAAATATTTGTAAACAAATAATATTACAATGATGAGTGCTGAAAATAGCCTACTTCCATTTCTGGATTGGAAACATGTTTATGAAGTCGCTCTTCATGCGTATCTCTTCGCCTTCTTGAGAGGTTATTTGATCAGCCGCTCGCAACGCTCGAAAAGAAACAAACCTGATAGAGCACGGTCCAGGCCAATGATTTTTTTACAATCTGTTTTTCGTTTCTCTTGTGCGATTTTAAATAACAAGTTTGCAGCGTCATCCATCGGAGCTTAAATTTCGAATCTTTCTGACCGAAAGGACATCGATGCATTCCACGAATGTTTACAGTTTTGATCCTTAGAGAATTTCTTACCTTATTTAAGTTTACCTAACATTTAGCATCAACACATCAACCTACCTTTTGAGGATGAGATATTAGTGTCGTGGTGGTCCCATTAAACGCAGCAAGCGCTGCAAAATTTCGTTCCAGCAACGGAAACGAGGAGCGAGCACCATTTCTCAACAGAGCAAAGGCCATCTTGGATGGTTCCGGTTTTGAATTTGATTCAGCGCAGTTTTTCCCTTTGTTTCAACTACTAGAATATACTTGCAAACACACGCACAAAACAACACACTTTTAACTTAACAATATACTGGAAAACTAGAGGATAATTTTATAACAAATCATCGATCGCTCAGCCCGAAATCCGTAGTGATCACACACGCGGCAGAATTGGAAATGACGATTTTTAAATCGTCTTGCTTCAGGGCGATCGTGTTTTGTAAGGCGTGTATAACACTATCTCTCTCCTGCAGGCTAAACAACAACAACATACGGCAATTTTCGGCTACCCGCTTCCCGTCTTCTGTGCACACGCACATAACCGTAGACCCTATCTATCGGTTCTTTGTTTTGGTGCCTAAATTCATCTCATGAGTTTGTTATGCAGTATATAGAGCAGAATCAGGGAGTAGCATAAGGGAAGAATAGAGTCTATTTGTAAAAATTGGTTCAAGTTCTTGAGAACTATGTAAAATTTTACTTGACATGTTGGAAATTTTAAATAAGTCTATTAAATTACGACAGTTTTTCTCGAAAACCATGAGCAAACCCTATTTCCGCAAAAATTGTAACTTCGCACTCAACATTCAAACAAAACAAAAAAGCCAAAAACAAAGCAGAACGACTGCTTTGCTTTGATGCTCACCATATTAGTGCGACCACAGCAGTGCTGGGTAGAGTTGAAACGCAATACAATGTTATGCAGATATGCTTCGAAGTACCAGGCAGGCACATCGAAGCAGAAGTCTGCAGCTTGGAACAAACCAATACAGAAGCACATCGACACGACGGGTCAGCCGAATAGGTACGTGAACCCAAGTGCGTATTCCATCGTAGGAGCTCGCCTTCAGTCAGTGGTGCCACATTTTTCTTCTGTATTTAAATTTCCACAAATATTTTTCGATTTTCAGCCTCAAAAATCTGTATAAATTTGAAGATGTTTTCCCAAAATCCCAAGAATATGGATATGTGGCAACACTGGTTACAGCCTAGCCTTAACCACGCACGTGGTTGATTGCCGTCCCCTCTGCTGTTTCGTGTCTATTTACACGTGTGCTGACGCTGACGACGGTTCTGCACCATCGCTTTCTTCATCCTACGTGCATCTTTGAAATGTAATAAAAATATGGATCTAATGTTGGTTGTATTCGGGTGTGTAGTCGTATGTTGCACACACTTATTATGATGCGTTTTTTCCCCGACAACGTGCGATTGACCTACTATCCATGTAAAACATATAGCAGGCTTATCAGTCAGTCAGTGATTTGAGCTTGTGGTTTTGTTTAAATGTTGTGTTCAACAGTACGAAATACTGATCTACGTGACGAATTTATGTCTGCTTCGCTTGAGACAATTTGTGATGAACTCGCCCTCGGCTTAAAATCACTTAAATCTAGTTACAAACACAAATTGGTGCAATGTGGGATTGAACCTTTGTTGGAACTAGTGTGTATGGCAAACGCAAAGTAGACCTAATTAGAATGGTTATAATTACCTCAGACTGCTCTCCTTAGGTCACTTTTGGAGATTGGAACCTATGACCATAAAAACCTGTTTCGAACCGGTTCGGTCCCGCGTTATCACCTGTCACATCTGCTGTTTACCCACTTGTGTATGGTCCGACAGGTAAGCTGTGATTTGATATTTCATGCCCTAGATAAGCAAGGGCTGAACTGTTAATTTTAACAGGTTCCTAATTGGGTTCATTTCCACATTTGTCTGGCATGGGACTGCATACGGGGCAAACAAACCCTGGACAAAATTCTCAGACCTAGAAAAAGTTTCCTTCAATCAATTTAAAAAGAAAGAGGTTGTATCCAAGAACACTCTAAACAGGCCTGATGGGACAAATTCTAATTAACTAGAGATGAAAAGGCGTTTGTGTCACTTGAGAATTCAAATATGTAAACCGCACAAATACAAGAAATGACCATCATTTAAAGTCCAAGACACGACCGTAGATTTGACGTAGGATTTGTGCTCGGTATCAATATTCGACGACTGTGTTAGGGAGACCACTTTTTGTCATCATGGAAACGCCTCGTTTTCTGATGACAAAATCGCGCATTTTCGTGTGCACGGAATTTTTCGTTTATTCAATAGATAATACAGACAAAATGATTGTATTTGCTAAATTTTTCCATTCGCGATCAATCATATAAATTCGAGCTCATTTAGTCTTTTTTTTTTCTAGCGTCCTGGAGAAACCCTTACCTTAATGCGAAGTGTTTCTGGTTAATTGACAAGGTCATGTGGTATTCAGCCATTGCGGGAATTTGTATGTATGACCACAAACGTTTGGTTGCTGGGTACATTATCAAAGAGCTTTGGGGGTGATGTGGCTGGCAGCAAGGCGACCGAACGTTCAATAAAAACGTAACTCTTAAGCAGCAATAGTTTGTGGTGGTCCTGAAAATAACCGTTTTGTCGTGATGGTTAAGTAATCCTGAGCTATTAGGGTGTTCAACACAGATGAGGCTGGCGAGCTGTATGTTGTTTGGAACGAGGGTGACGCACTTGGCATAGATGGCCCACAGCGACTGACGAAGAGTTACTGAATCCGATCAGCAGCGATGCGGCTTCTTCCTCTTTTTTCGGTGAATGGACGCTCATGTGGGCTGCAGCTCGCTGCTTCGGGCAGCCTTTCGTTGTGTACTGGAGAACAATGTTCAACGCCACGCACCGAATGCGCTGCTCGATTTTGTTTATTGTTTATTCGATTTTGAAATCTGTGTTAGGGAAAGCGCTATTCGCAGGCAATTTTGATCACCATTGCAACAGTTGAACATTTGTGTAAATTTCAATAGTGACCTACTGAAAATTGATAAAGTGTTCATTTTAGCAGATTTGTAGTTACATTTGCAATCGACAAAATCTTTTCACTTTCGTATCGTTGGTTTTTTGATATTGCACTCCCAATATGTTGCCGAAGGACGTAATCCTACGTCAAAACCTAAATGTGAAAGTGGTAGATTCTGGAAACGATGATGACTGGTGAATGCATTTTTTTTTACATATCGAGAGATATTGATATTATTGATAGTGATGTTTAAACAATAACAGTGATTCCAGTTTTCCAAGTTAAACGAACTACTGAGACGGGAATCATTGAAGCAAAAATAGGACCTACGACATAGGTGTCACCGCTAGTGGTGGCAAACAAGGTAAACGGGTCGATTCGATTGTGCGTTGATGTACCTTTTGACTAGGACCTTTTCTAAGAATCAATTCGCTATCTGGTTGGCGAGTCAAGGACCGCCATTGTACGCTACGGTCTACGAGTCTGACCACTATCTCGCTGTAGTCACCGGTAGACTAGTTAGTGGTACCGCCATCTTTCCGAAAAGGTCAACCTTGCATAATCCGCCATTGCCTAAATCGTTCCGGAATCTCAGCGAAGCCATACCGGGTTTAAGCCTAGTACGCAGCTTAAAAGAAAACGGAAAAGTAATTTTTGAGGATTTCTCCCAAAACAAAATTTGACAGCTGGGAGGTGTCTTCTGCTAAATTTTGAGATTATAGCGAGGTTTCGTCAAATTTTAAAATCAACAATTATAAGTGTTAATGTTGTTAATATGCATCCAAAACATCAGTTCTGCAATAAACGCCAACATTACTTAACGGAATAATTGATCAGACTACACGCTATTTCAAAACTACCCAAATTTTGGTAGAATCCACCCAGATCTGTCAAAACTGAACCTACCCAAAAATGGGTAAACTATGTTGGGAGTGACAAGTTGACAAATTAACAACGTCGATCGGATTCATGTCGATGTTGTTCATTTGTCAACTTGTAACTTCCAACACAGTTTACCCATTTTTGAGTAGGTTCAGTTTTGACAGATCTGGGTGGATTCTACCCAAATTTGGGTAGTTTTGAAATAGCGTGTATTATTCCGCAAGGAAAGTGAAAATGCGCCATCCTCATGTCGATCACGTTACTAATGTAATCGATCTTTCCTTTACCGATTTCTTTTGAACTGCGTACTGAGTCAAGAAATGCTAAGGAAAAGTAATTTCTTTAGCATTCCGTGTCCTATCCCGTAGCACGTAAAAACGTCATTATTTTTCAGATGCGTACCAGGCTTAACAAAGGAAATTCGAGACCACATAAGATACCTCCACCGAACAATACACCACAAGCGATCGAAGTCATACCGGAAAAGGAAATGTAAGAGTAGCACACGAAGCATAATTGCAGCAGAAATCCTGGAACAAAACGCTTGCAAATATTCTAGATCAAACTATCTCCACTGAGCCTGCAGCTAACAAAATTCGATCATGGTTCCACAAAAACACAACCGACCGTAATCACTCGAGAACAAAATGAATCCGAAAAACTAATTTAACTAAGCTATCACGCCCAACAGTGTTTCAAGTGGAAATTGTAGCCATACTTGAATGTGTACATGTTTGTCTGAGGATTAAATACAGATGTGCAAATATTTGTGTTTTTTTCTGACAGTCAAGCAGCGCTGAAAGCACTGAGTGCTTACAAATGTACACCAAAGATGGTCTGGGAATGTATTCTCTCTCTTCGGCAACTGTGCCAACGGAGTAAACTTATATTGGGTACCAGGACACTGTGGCATTAAAGGGAATGAAAGGGCAGACGACCTAGGAAAGTTAGGTTCCAATTCACAGTTTTTTGGCCCAGAACCATATTGTTGAATATCATACTGTACGGTGAAAATGGAACTCAGATACTGGGAATAGCAAAGGGTGATGGTCAATTGGATGACTGTCACAAACTGCAATCAGTCGAAAAGATGTATAACTCATAATATAATATATATAACTCTTAGAGCTCAATAAAAGAGCTCTTAGTATATACTATTTACTGGCCTATTAACTGGGCACTGTCCTAGTAGATATCACATGAAGAACATTGGCGGGCTCAGAGTGATATCTGTCGTTTCTGTAATTTAGAACGTGAAACCTCGGCACATCTGCTCTGCAGTTGTGGTGCATTCCACAAGCGTAGATCTAAATTTCTTGGAAGTATTGCTTACAACCTAGTGAAATTTGATCTGCAA